AGCTACATCAAAAATTCCTTCCCTCGGTAACGCGCGAATTTAAAGTTGGATCTGGCTCGTGAAAACGTTAAGAAAAAAGAAGAAGAAAAAAAAGAAAGAAGGCGAGAGGATCCTTGGCGAATAAATGCGTGACAAATACCGGCGACGTTTTAACAACGGCAACGTGTCTGGCCGAGCAAAGGACTCATTCATTTAAGCCGCATTGTTTCGGTTAATGCGTGACATGTGGTTGAAAAAAACACAGTAAAACTCCAACAATGCACCAAGTGTCGACCCCTTTATCGTTCTGAGAGGGGTTAGCGATTCATCCCTTCATTATTCGGGAATTAGTAACCCCATTTCGTTTCCCTTCTCCGCTTCCACGCCACCCCTTTCGTCTTCGCTGCACCCTGACTCTGTTATCTCACCGACAGTATACTCGCCTTTTCCATCCTTCCATTCTACGAAATAACACTAGAACGATGGTAAATCAATTTTTAACCCGGTCAAAGTTACTTGTAATCTTAGATACACCCCTGTCTATCAGAACCGCGTGTAGATAAATAATAACGCCACTCTAATCTGTAATAAATATTTTCTTACAGAAATCTTAGAAGTTGATCTTCTCGAAATAGAAAATAAAATTCTTAAATTCTTTTATTTATTTTCGTGAATTTTGGGCAGCACATTAAATAAGTAGAATCAGTCCGGGGAAAGAATTAATTTCACGTGCGAACGGACATTTTTCGCGACGCGATTGACGGCGGAGGGTTGGTGGGGTTGAAATCACGCGTCGTTAAAATTTCACGAGTACGAGGACACGGACCGTCCTGAAACGCGTCTATCCAATCCGAGTTGGACGGGATGGGATGCGGGGAGGGGGGCGGGGTGGATTGGTGTCGAAGAGAGGCATTACCTAAACCGAGAAACATCACGCCGATCGGCGAGATCAACGTCACGCGGAAGGCACTAGCGAAATTATTTATTTAGATTTAAACAAGCCAGCCACGGCGCTAGGCGCACATAGCGTACATACGATACGTATAGTACATAGAGGTAGTAGAGAGAAAGGCCGACACCTCGGCGCCGAACTCACCCTCCTGAGACTCTGCAGACTCACCTCCATCCCCCTTCCATACACCCTTTCAACCACCCCGCGGGCGAAGCATCCCAATGGCAGCAGCCCCCGTTTCGCAAACCTACACCCTCCTCCACATCCTCCAACCTCCTTTCTCCCTTCTCTACTGTGTGCCTCTTTCATCCCCCTATCTCCGTCCCTTACCCTCACACTTTGATCTAGCCTCACTCTTTCCTCCTTTCTCTATTTCACGAGCTCAGCTCTCTCGCTACGCTACTCGTCTCGACCCCGACCATCCACCCATCCAACCATCCCACCCACCAACCTACAACTCCTACGTACCGAGCGACCCTCGAGCTATCTCCAAAATCATCCCTTACATTCTAGAGCTCGCCGCGCTATCCTCCATAGAGGATAGAAGCAGAGCAGAGTCGGACGTCGTCGTCGACGAGGTTGAAAAGGGGGAACGAGCGCGGAGGGGTTGGCGAGGTATGGAAGGAAGGTTGAAACGAGGGTAGACACTAGCCGGGATATAGGTAGGTATACTGGATACTACGGGGAAAATAAGAGATCTTCCCGCACGACTCACGATACGAATTACAATGGCCGGAGGGGGTGGTGACGACCTACACCATCGCCTTCCCTTCTACCGTTCTTCGTTCGACTCTCGTTTATGCTTTCTTACACAATTGTGAAACCGTGTCGCGGTAGTAGGAATTTTAAAACGACCAATCCGAACCGTAGCTAGATCAGGATCAGCTTCGTCCGACGCGATCACCGGTAATAGGGTTGGCGCGATATGCAGCCGCCTGGGTATTTGTTAATAACTAGGTTTGCACCCTGGGAGTGCGTTGCCTTCCAGCCAAGTTTCTGACTGGAACTTTGCTCCGATTCCCTTTTGCCATCTACACGGTGTTCGGATAGTTTCTGATTTAAATCGTATAAATAAAATTTAGAATATTATCCCTGTTTTATTGTTTTTATTTTTCAAATGATTGAGCAAAAGAGACACTTGTATATTGTCGATTTATTTGAAAAGTGACACATGATTGAAAAATTAAAATATTTTTATATAATTTTATGTAATACAATAATTTTTTATATAATTATTAAGAAAGGAATTTTTTTCTTTCTACAAATTATTAGACTGCCATGATTTGAAACTTTTTAATAATGACTCTGTCATCACTGTTCGTATGGTAACATAAATTAATAACGATATTTAAATCTTTAAAGACTAATGGTTATCCTCGGTGACGAATGAATTGAGCTGGCATTGTCGAGCGATCGGACAATTTACTTCTTTTTTTTTTTACCGGAGGAAGCCTGACACGGAGATCACGAAGAGTTCCCCGAAGAACAATGGACGTCACGCACGAGTCGCGATAGGGGAAAAATGTTAAATCACCACTCGATCGAGTTTACGCCACTTAAGCTCCGATAATATGGTCACCGTCCGGGGACACCTTAATCGGTCTACCGAACTATTGAAACGAAAAGTCACAAACTTGCGAATAAATTTGTGTATTGATCGAATCGATCGACATCAATCTAATCTTGAACTACTTTGCCACAAAATTATAAATAATTAACAATTGTGACGTTAATTGCTGTTAATTTTAAGAATTTTTTTCGGAATCATGGCATTAAGATGGTAGTAAAAATTCGATTCTAATTTCGATTTTGAATAAACGAGAAGGCTAGCATCGGTGGTTTAATTTTGCAGGTGAGATTATGCAAGGAGGGAATAAATGGCCGGACGGGTAAATATGTACCCCGTTAGCGACGGATCCCGCGCGATACAGCAACGCGTACATATGCGTCCCGTGGGGAAAGTGTAGCCGTTCGTTGAAATCTCCGGCCGAGTTTCGGCGCTTCTTAATTTCCACCCCGGTCTCCTGTCACTCGCGAACTTTCAAAAAGAATCTCATTAGCAACGAAAAAAATCATTTCCAATAAAATACAAAATAGTAGAATCGATTGAATTGTTTATGAAAAAATAATTTTCAAATAAAAATCTATATCGTTTCACCATGAATATTAGTTCGATCATCAAGAACTCGTGGAAGTTGAGGGTGAGGGTGGTTCGATACTTTTCTGATAGGACGTCAAAACTTTTAGGAAAGTGTTTGTAGTCTGACGTAAACTCGTAAGCCTGTTCCTTCGAAAGTCATAAACGAAAGTTAGAAATTTCTAAAAGTTACAAATATTAACCATCTAGTCGCGAGTCTTGAGACCGTAGCTCTGCTTTCGTATAAATCGATCAAGCATCAAGATTCAGTGAGAGAAAAAAAAAAGAACACGAAGACAGGGGAGATTCATGGTTGTTCCCGAGGTACAAATAAGAAAGAGCATCGGAACGGTCAAAGATGGAAAGAAAACCGAGGAGATACCCCGATTTCTTCGAATCTTCGTTATTCCAGACGAGCAGAGCCGGTCGTAGCAGGGGAAAGCCACGAAATATCCGAAGAAAAACACGTTTCCAGGGCCGAATCGATAGCAACAATGCCGTGGCAAAAGCACGAGGCCTCGGCTAGCGTGACGACGAGGGGCACCAAGGGGCAGAGCAGAGGGAGGGTGGTGCGCTGCTAGAGGGTAGATGGAGCCAACGAACGAGGGTGAGAAGACGAGTTGAACAGGGTGGAGAGAGAGAGAGAGAGAGAGAGAGAGAGAGAGAGAAAGAAAGGATGGGAGAGCTAGGAGAACGGTAACGGGTACCAGAAAGAGAGGGTGGAAAACGTGGTACGAGGCAGCCTTATTGGAATCATGGAGAGGGAGAGTTTTCCTAAAGGTGCGTCTCTACTGGTATACTCATCCTTCTATCTAGAAACTTTTATGAAAAAATGATAAAAATATTATCATAAATTTTTATTTGACCCATTGGATCCTCTTCAGGTAATCAGAAATACTAATTACCAATTACCTGTATACCCACATGAAAAACTGGAACGATATGATTTTTCTAAGAATTGTTCTCCCTGATTATAATTAATTATAATTGCAATTAGGTTCAAGAAAGGTCCTCTTCGGGTAATCACAAATACAAGCTACTAATTATCTATATACCTACATGAAAAATTTGAATATGATTTTTCTGAGAATTGTTTCTTCTGATTATAATTAATTAGAATTGCAATTAGATCCAAGAAAGATTGCACAGGGGTGCAAAATGTTTACAAATGATGTAGGTGAATTGTTGGTCGGTGTATGCTCACCTTTAGGATTGACGAAGAGAAGGGAAGAAGACAGGTGGAGAAGAATAAAGCGAGGGAGGAGAGACAGAGAGAAAGGAGGACTTAGAGAGAGAGACAGGAAGATCGGTTGATGGAACAAGGCCGCTACAACGCTGGCAACAGCCAGATGGGTAAAGGCTGCATTACCTATGGTGTGCCTCGAAGAAACGGTCCTTACCATGAGAGAGCAGGTAACCTGCCTCTGCCTTCTCCTTTGTTAAAGGGAACTCAATGATTCCATCCTCTTTGTTCGTGATATTAAAGTACGACGAGGCGCCGGACGACCACTCCCACCTCTCGTTTCGACGATAGAAGTGTCAATTGTATTCATTGTTCGTTCATAGAGCGTACGATCGAAGGATCTTTCTCGCTTTCCTCATAGGATCACTGTATCGTACCGCGAAATATTTGCATATCGAGAATCCTTGTTTCATCCAAAACCCTTTATCGCTGATAAGGTGAATCTCAAGGAGAGCCTTTGTCTGGGGTGGGTCGAGTTCTTTAGCAACTTTGAAATTTTGGAAATCGAAAATTTTTAATTTTGAAATATTGCAATTCTGGAATTTTAGAAATTAGAAATTTTCAAATTATAGAATTCTGAAATTTTTAAATCTTATTAAATCAATTACTCCAATGATAGTATTAAAATATGCATAGTCTTTTTAATTGGGAAATATTAATATGGGACTAAAAACGAAATGACAGAATATCATATATTTGCACTTAAATTTATTGACGTTATTCAATTACACATGTATCGTATTTAATCGATCCAAATTATCAAACCTTAATTATTCCAATCATAAGGAAGGAGAACGGAAAAAAATTGAACAATTTAGATTTTGTGATTTCATATATTTTCCCATCTCGTTGGTGTGCAATTTAAATATAATAAAATAATAATAATAATTAATAATGATCATAATCATGATGTAACTGTCACGGTAATAATAATAGCAATATTATTCATAATAATACAATCGCTCGCTTTACCCTTAACAACTATCTGCGCTATGTTACAACGATTATATACAAAATAATAGATCCGTTGCTATTCAACACTTCCGTGTCATCCTCAACATTTCTGTATCTACTTTCACAACGATTATCAAACCTCTATTACAAACACGTCCGTGTGATCATACCCGTTGTCTTCGAGGTTAACGACAAGCTATTCATGATACACGAAGAAAAATACTACCCTCTAGCTTAACATCATAAACAAAGCTAGTCTACACGGTGAAATACGAAAAAACTTTAGCGTCACACCAATGGAACCGTTCCCATTATCAACGATAAATCGGCAATAATTCGATTGAATCACATGGAGATTTCATCCACGACGCCTTTGGTTTAACAACGTTCGCGTTACAAAGCGAGGTCCCAATTTAGTTGTCGATATACATCGATTCCCAGCCCAAAATCGATATCCTGCGATCGAAAGTAAGCGTAATTGTGCGTATCGCGATCGTGTAACATCGACAACCAAAATCAATGATATTTTAAAGACAATTTGGATAACTCAGTATTTAACACATTTCAGACATCAAAGTTTGTTTTAAACTGAGTTATAGCCGGTCCGTTTTAAAATCCATCGAACCGGATGGATGACTTATCCATGGACGATCGAAAGCATCGCGGGTCAGCCACGCAACGAGTTAGGTCGGGACAATCTTGTTCGGTGATTAAATATTCAGCAGTTATCCTCGCGTCGACAATCGTCTATCGAATCTATCCTCGCTTTCGATCCGATCTCGAAATATATCGAAACGGCCCCGGGGTCAGGAGAAGCGGATTTCGGTCTGCGGTCGTTGCGGCTCGTCTATAAATCGGTGACATGCGACGGTCGACCCATATTTTGACAGGCTCACGAATAATTCGCGTCCCGTTTCCTCGTCTATATCGAGAACGCGAAAACGAACCAAGCGATCCGGTTTAACTGACGTTGACGCCGCGACGCCGACCAAGTAATTGATCTTATCCGGTTTTAATAGATGATCGCGTTAGCCGTGAGTTTGAATGGCAGCTCGGATCGGATATCTGACCGCGTTAACTTCGTCCTGAAAGAATCGCGGACTCCTGAGCAGTTGGCCGAGGACGCATTTAGCTGACGAATCGAGAAAGAAACCTGTGTTTCCGTCGAAATTGGTGAACTCCATCCCTTGTCTCTGTACCACGATTGGTAAAAAATATCATCCCTTTATTATCCACTGCAATAACCGTCCTTGATACCATTTAAAAAATAAAAACAACGAGACATCTAAACGGTATTCGATGCCCAAGAGAGAAGGGACGGAGGAATTAAAGTCCTGACTTCTGATTTTTAATTATCCTTCCTTCAGGGTTGATCTCTTCACGCGTGATTCTCACCGGTCTGCACCGACACCTCCGAGCCGATCATCATACCGTTCGATAATACATTAGCCGCAGAAGGTAGCACGAGAGGGCTTGGCATGGTGATGGAAGGTCTGAGCCTTTCGGTGAGGGCCAGCATCACTTGGCAGTGCAGGTGCTGAATGGTGGCCAATAGATTGAGATTGGTATCGATCAATCCAGTGGCAGGTGAATATCTCTCCCTCTCGACGTTCTCGATCTCCTCCGTGGGCAGTACCGTGACTTTCTGCTCGGTCTCGGTCTCCTTTAACGCAGCGGCCTTGTTTTTCTCCGCCTGCAGTAGCCTCTGCTGATGCTTCAGGTACGAGGTAGTGATGGGAAGACTGTAGTCGATGGGCGTGTTCTTGGGATCGAGTCCAGGGCTCCACGGCCTTGGCAACGGTTGGCTGGGCTGAGGGGACGGTGTTCGACCCTCTGGCAACATCCTTTTCCTCTTCGACGAGGCCGAGCTTTTCGAGCTGGCTCGATCCGACTCGGGGGTTCTTCGTGAATCGGGCAGACTGTCCGTGGTCGGCAAAAAACTGCCTGCGACCGGCTCCTTCTTCAGCAAATTCGTGATACTCAGGGGATTGTATTTCTCTTCTTTCTCCTTATCGGTTTTGTCCGTCGAAACGACCGAGCTCCCCTTTTGATGCTTTTGATGCCTGTAACTGTAGAGAGGCTTGCCCTCGCCGCCGTGATTTCCCTCGCGCAGCTTAGGGCTACTTTGCACCGACGTCGTCGACGTCGCGGTTAGGGCGGCGCTCGCTTGGTTCCCGCTCAACGCTGTCGTCGCCGTCGTCGACGTCAATGTCGTCGTCGTTAGCGACGCCGCCGACGTCGACTGCGATTGGTTGGATAAATTCGTCGGGCTTGGGGTTCGCGGACGTCGTTGGCATTCCGTGCAGCCCAACAGAAATCGCGTTACCGCTTCCCGGGGAAGAAAGGCGTACGTTTCCGTGATCTGGAACGAAACAAAGGGGGCTTCGGTTAGAATCTGTCGATCTTCTTCTCTAGAAGATTTCTTTAAACAGATTTCAACAGAAATTATTGACGGTTGTACAGAAAGAAATATAATATAATGTGTTTCTTAACTCTCGTTTGGCGGACCATGGAGAGAGCCAGAGTTCTAATTTAATTCTTTACTTCTTATTATTTTCATTTAACTTTAGATTAATATCCTTGCTCGGGTCACGATTGACCCAGGCTCCGCTGTTCAAGGGTTAAACAATAAAACAAAATTATTTTTCGTAGTCCAAATACTTCATATTTCCTACTTTTTAAAAAAAAGTGTTAATCAGATAGAAATCAATCACCTGTTTTACCGAATCAAAATTCGATTAGTGACAAATTTATGTTTAGAAACTTCTACTGAGTTATGAATAGAGGCAAATCCTCTCGAAAGGATTTAGAAAGCAGAGGGTACCACCAATAGCGAGTATCACGAATGACCCGTTTTCTTTCGCCGTCAAACGTCAACGTCGTCGCACGGTACGGTTTCACGCGGAACGCCCACTGGGGAAAATTCATGAGCAGTAACGGAACTTTGATGTCTTTGCGAGGAGGTATTTAGCCGGAGGGATGTTCTCTGCCTCTTAATAGGAAACGTTTCTCTCCGAGGAGGTGGAGGAGCGTTATAACTTAATCAAGTATAGGAGTCTACGAGTCGAGAGAGGCAATGGTCGACGTTCCACGTGGATCTCTGTGTGGGAGTGCACGCCAAGGCACGGCAAGGTAATTCGATAAGATTTACTCGAGCCTCGACTCGGAGACGAAGAAAAGAGCTGTAGGTAAGAAACAGAGATAATGGCTTCTGGATCAACGTGACACACTGGCAAACTTCCTTCAACCGGCAGACGACAGTCTCGCTTCGAACTTTGATGAAAAGACCCTCCTCTGCTGCCCTGATCGGGAAAGTTAATCATTTTCTGAACTCGTTTAGGGGATGAGTAATAAGCATCGAAAGAGTTGAGCTTGAGACGTATAGACAGGTGCTACCTCGATGAAACTTCCACTGGAACAATTTCGTGGATGTCAATGACAAAAGATTCGGTGACGTTGTTAATGGTTTCCTGTAATTAGGAAAAATGATTTTTTCTTAAATCATTCGATTCACAGATTTGAAATGTAACCCTTGGAAGATGAATTTCATATTCTATTTCATACTAATTTTATCATATATTTTGCAAAGTTTGGGTCACAATTAACTCAGCGTGTCGATCGTTGAAAATCTCATCCCTTATCAAGGCGATACATTACGATCACCCTTGGCAAACGGTTTGAAAGCTTTAAACGTCACAATTTTGTTCAGCATCCTACGGTATGCACCCTCCAGTCGACCGACGCCACCCCGATGAATCATGTAGCGAGAGACGGGTGGGTGGGTGCCGCGAACCGATGAATCGTGCTCTGTAACAGCCGACTTAAACGTAAAACACGTACCGTACGCGTGCGTGCGTGTACGTATGTGTGTGTCGGCATGGTGCAGCAGTAAGCAGGCAATGCAACAAGTGTCCTGAGGTTTTGAATCACAAGCAAATCGCGGCGGTCGGGAGAGAGAAAGAGGAGGACGCGGCTAGAATGGGATACGACCGGGCGAGGGTGGGTTTGCGGAAGAGCGAGACGGGAAAACGTTGAGGGCGGGTAGGTCGGAGGGGTTGCGAACGGGAGAAAGAGAAACGGGCAAGCAGAGAAAGAGGGCGAACCGATCGGAGTCGCGAGGCAGGAGGGTGTCGGAGAACGGATATAATACCCCGGAGAAAGCTTTACGCAAACGCGCGCCGGAACACGTGAGATGACGTGTGGTATCGAGTGTTCGACGCTTGAATGCCTCCGTACCCTCCCACGGGAACTCTGAATATCGCGTGTCGCGGCCAGTCATGCAAGAATTCGGCGTGCCCACCGACTGATTCGGGGTCATCGCTTCGAAGATACGTCTTTTTAACTTCGGCGAACTTACTCGCGGCATCGATTCACTTTCGATGATACGGCTATCATCGTGGGTATATTATTTCTTCATCCATCTTCTTTCATTGCTTGAGTAATTTTGATACTGGGTTACTGTAAAGCGCGGACTTAAATTCGGGCAATTTTTAAGTAGGTGGTACCCTAATAGTTTGAATTTATTAATTTAAAATATTTCCTCTTTTTGACACACTTATTTTTTTCAAGAATTAAGGGAAAGTGTAAAGCAATAAATATTCGATCACTTCCTTTATTTTTGAATTATGGGAATAGAAGATTCTAAATTAAACCCTACCCCTAGGTGGTAGAAAGTTCCTTTTAGAATTGAAATTGTTTTTACTAGGATTTGAATGTTTGAAACAGAAATTATTTTTTAAAAAGTAATATTAATGGTGGAATATTGAGAGATGATCACTTGAATAAAACTTGAGTTCTGTTAGGGTTCAATGCATGGGTTGATTATTCAAGATATTAAGGCTGCAGAAGATTAATAGATATTCTTCTATGAAACTTACCGTCCTGTACGTTCTCTTTTGACCGGCATGCTTTCCCGGACGACCTTCAAGGTCAACGTGGACAGCATGAATAATGTCGAAGAAGTTCTCCACGATTGCAACCTTCTTGTACACTCTTCCGGGTGGAACGGTTCCCTCAGCCCCGTTTAACGCCTGGAATCAACATAAAACATAGTTAGAAATGCAACTGAAATTTTAAATAAAACAGAAAAAATTTAGAAACTACATATATCACGGTTTAGTTATGTTTCTCATTTATTTAGGCGAACAAGTTGTAAAATTAATTTATGATTTGGATAATTTTTGCAAATGAACCATCTATATTTTTCATGTTCTATTTCTATACGCTGGTCAAAATGATTTTGCAATAGTACAAGGGTGCATTTGAAAATTAGAGGGTGCATTTAGGCGCCCCAGTGCCATCTAGCCCGCTGTGTGCAACTGCACAGGAAACGGAATGGTCTCTACCATCGCGCCAGACGAGTGCTAGATCCCTGCAATTTCGTTATCGACAAGCACTTCCGTTTTCCTTCGTGGGTAAGCTAGGCACCCCCAGTTACCTTCCATCTCGTGTCGGTAACGAAACTTCCTACCAGAACAGGAACCTACTACAACCCCTATTTTCAATGATTTATTTTATGGATATTTAAAAAAACGAGCATGAAACAAATTAGCGAACCTAAAAACACTTGTATTTAATAAATACCCGGAAAATTAAGATCTCAAAACATTTATAAAGAGAAACAAATATTTAAAGGGGGTGCAAAATTTTCAAAAGTTATAAGCAATGAATTAGAATTTACATATAAATTATAGGAAATTTAAAATCATATCTTGAAAATAAAGATCAACTCTTCTAATCTATATTCGTTGTATATAAAGGGTTCCCGTTTCAAAACAAAGGAAATTGCAAAGAAAATTTAAAGAAAACCCTCGGAACGATTACGGATATGAGAAAAAGAAAGGTGTGGCACGATTTTCTACGAAACATTTTCCCGGGTTCCGATGGGTTCCGTTTCCGCGGTTCGCCGCGGAGGGAAAAACTTCCAACTACCCCAGAAACTCAATTAACTGCGGCGCGAAGTGGCGTCACGGTCCGCGGGCATGGCCGCGGTCAGATTGTTCCGGCGAACTTTGCGACCTTAAGAAGTTGCGAGCGCATGCGCGACATTATTGTATTTCCCTAAACACCTGTTGAAGGGTAAAGTTGAACTCGTGGGGCTTACGGGTCGGTTAAGTGGCTGCGGTCAGGCAGGATAACAATGCCGATATCTAGGTGACCGCCGCTTTAAGATAACACCCGTACCCAATCGAAACGATCGGCCTCCCCCGTAATTACGCGTAATCGTTGCGACGATCCTCCGAGCTCGAACAGAAACCAAAGACGTTTTCTTAAATACCAAAGCGACTCGATCGTTTAATTTTTCAGCATAGTAACATTGCTAAAATCGTGTTGGGTTAAAACGGCATTTACCGATTCTGAAACGAGTTTATCGGGAATATCATAATACTAACATTACTCGTCGAACTCAACGACCAGAATAATCTCGCGCCTCTTGGATGCTGCAGACACTGTCTGTGTAAAGTCGACAAAATATTTTCGACTGAATGGTACCGCTCGCTTTTCGCTCGATCTTGCACCAAAATAAAGTACGATTTAACCGAATTGTGTTATTTATCGAGAAGTTGGAAGTCGAATCAAAAATCGTTTGTCTGAATTATTCGTTTGAATTTCATACCAGTTATAATTGCGAAAATAATATTGTTTGGTAAAATGATCAAGTTTTTCGCATTACACCATTAAAGGAGAATTCTTTTTCAATGGCTGGCCCCTTCCTTCGATCCGAAGAAAGCTCTTAAAAAGAATTTAATAAAATAGTACGACGAAGGCGTTTCGCCTTTATTTCAGCCTCGAGGCGGATTCTCAGTTTTAAGAAATGATCGGGGCTGAACCGTCCTCCTCCTAGTATTACTTTATTAAATTCTATCCAGCAGTTTCATTTAAACTTTTATTTAAACCGCTGAAGTAGACCAACCTATCCGCAAAAGAACGTCCCTTCTATTCCGATGGTTAAATGTAAATCAACTTCTTCGATGAAAAATAATTCCTTATATAGTCTTTAAATTTTCAAATTTTAAAAAGAATAGTAGATTTTAATCTAGCCTAGTTCCTTCCCAAAATTTTCACCGACTATTATAATATTTTTTGATTAGAAACTAAGTTAGGATTAGAATTTTCAGTGAAGCTAGAAGACCTCGTCTCTAGTAGAAGAATAATGTTAAGAGAAACAGAGTACCAGCCCCTGAGGGATCAATAAAATTGCACATTTTCTTCTTCAAAATATCAAAGACGATATTTCCCGGTAATCGGGAAATAGCAGAGACGCGTGTGCCTGGAAAGCCAAGGTAATAGGGACGATCCGCGACCTCGATCCCTCGAGCCCCAATAATCGTTGACAATCCATGAGTTCCGGGGTCAGACATCGTCCAGCCCTCGAGAGATAGCCCCGTGGTTCGATCGAAACGGGCGGAGATTAACCTACTTGACGGTGTGTGTAGTACGTATCTTGGCCAGCGCTTATGTAAACCCGCGTCGAGGGTAAGTTTCACGGCTGAATACGCTCGGGCACGAAGCTCTCGGCATTCTGTCGCCTATGGATGGCCGTGTCACGCAATGCGTATTGGCGTGTAACAAGCGCGATAGTATATAAACCCTGCATACCTCCACGGGACGCGAGATCTCTGTCTATAGACGCGTGTCGATAACTGAATATGTATGTAACGCCACCTTTAAGGCTCTCCTTCGTAAGCGGCTCAAGCTCATTTTAATACTTAATAGAAACGGAACACGAGGCGACCGTGCTTTGTTCTCGGCACGATTATTGTTATACACCTTCGATCGCGTTTTTCAGACACCGAACCATCTATTCTGATCGGATGATAAATTGATAAGAGTTACGTGGTATGATCGGTCTGTAGTCTTCTAATCGATGAGGCGAATTGAATTATCAGATGTGGACATTACTGTCTAAACTTTGAAAACTTAATTATTAACCCGTTGCCTTATATTTCGACGTAGATCTATTGTAGAATTGCGTATTCACTGTTTGAATACGGGGACGAAAATTTTCGGTGGGCAAAGATGTTAGGTTTCCTAGGTGAGGAGGGTGTCTAAGTAGTCCTAGATGAAACATACTTTTGCTAAGATTTTGGACTTATAATCTACATTAAGTCATTCGGTTGGTCATCCAACATTATATGGAATATTTGTGAATACCTCGAATTCTGGGTTGAAAGTATTATTTGGGTTCGGGTTAAGAGTACCTATCATTCGAATTCGAGAGTACTTATCATTCAGGTTTGACACGAAACCCGATACTTGCGTTCATTGGAAAAAATCAATGAAAATCCGTTTAAAAGACGCTGCCCAACTGGTAAGGAGATCTGCAAAGACGGTCTGCTTTCGCCAAAAGCAACGAAATCCTATAACCTCGCCAAGATCAGAGAGTTAAACGCGTGTAACCTGAGAACGGGACATGATCCCGGCCCCATCCATCCTGCTGCACCAAATAAGGGTCGATAGCCGACGGAGGCGATACACCAGGGGATGACATACGAGAATTCTTTGATGGCAGGCAGCTGTCAAATGGGACGCAGGCTATCCAAGATAAAGATGGAGAAATCACTCGTCGGTTAACCGACGGTCACTCCTAGTACAGAATTCATTTATATAAGAAACACCATCGACAGCTTCTCCTGTAAATTTCACCGTCGATCGGATGACTTTTGACACCGCGAATCGAGAAAAACGAAGGAATCGAACCGCGTTCCCACGAATCTTCCACTCTTCCAAAGCTTTCGACGATCGAGAAAGCTTGACCGGGGGGATGATTTCAGAGCCCTCGAGGATCCATTTGCTCGCGAAGCGACTCGGGATAACGAACAGCTCGCATCAAAGAATATTATTGCGTGGGGAAAGAGGCTTCCAGCGCTCTGAAGAAGGAAAAGAGGGACGATGTCTCGGGGAACGACGCATAAGCCGGTGCTGAACGCGCGAAAGGGACGCCTTTTACGGTTTCCTTTTCCAGTTCCTATCTCGCTTCGGTATCCAGACGGTATTCTGTTCATGGGCGTACACAGCGATTCCTTTTGCAATACAAAACTTCGCTGGTTCTCTCCTTTCTTTTGCAATAAAGTGTATTTTAAATGCGGACGCTTGAAATTTTTCTAAATTAATCCAGGGAGGACAGGAATTTTGAAAAGCAAAATCTAGAGAAGAGCGCGTGGAAACGCGTCTAAAATCCGTGGCGATGAGTTCCAGAATAGAAGCACGTCAGCGGTGCCATAAATCCGTATGAGGCACGGGACGGGCCAAGTTTGCGGCGCAACGAAGTCCGGGGTATAGCGGGTGTTTTAAAACCCCGCGGACCACGAGTTTGCATTTTAAACGAACGGGACGGGGACACGCGGACAGGGCGGAAAACAACGCGGCGGCCACGCAAACGCGGCGGAGAATCGGATTAAAAAAATTCACGAGGGACTGGCCGTTCCACGGGCGTCGAGGCGCGCATGAACCGCGTGGGAGGGCGTCAGATTAGTCATCTAACGGGTGTACCGTTTCGAACGATTTTCAAAACCACGCTTGAAATTTTGAATTTAGGAACAAATTCAGAAAAATCATTCTTTGATTTTAATTTAAGAGAACAAAATTTCAGTAAGGGATACAAGTAGAAAACTCTAAGAGGGTTGATCACCACCCAGTACTGACGTTCGACGCAACCTAACGATTCGCGAGTTGCCATGGCAATTAATAGTTGAACGAAGCAAAGTAAGTTATAAGTAAGCTAGAAACGCGTGGGGATAAGCCAGGATCCCTTAGGACCATCTAGGGTTAACGAAGCGCCAGCAAGAAAGTTACCACCGAGTATCGCTACCGCATCGTCGTTTCGGTAACTTTGCCTTACGTAACGTGCTAGCGTCAAGTGCTTTCGCAGTTCGCGTGTACGTGTGTAACGACGTCGACTAATTCCTATTTCGCTGTCCTTTCGAGGGCAACATTGGAGGTCCTGAAGGAATTCGTACGAAAGTTCAAATCACAAAGTAGCCTTAGGTAAAAATGATCGAATGCTGCTATACAAAAGCCAAAACTGCCT